ATTCATTATATACTATAGTACTATATTACTTGCCTAAATTTGCCTCTAAATAAAGTTTTTAGAAATACTGATTTATACTGATCTTTTTTCTCAGAAGATATACAAAGAGTTAAAGAACACTATAATATGTTCTAAAAAATATTTATTATGCAAAACTATGAGTTGCCAATTGACAATGTGGTTTTTTATAGTAAATATTACTTTAAAATTTTTTTTTATATTGTATAACCTAGTGATCTTCAAGCCAATCAAATTGAATATCTGCTATGCTGGCTATAATAGTGTATCATAGCTACCTTTTTTTTTTTTTTTACTTTTTTTATCTTTGTTCATTTATAATAGATTGTTTTAGAATTTTTTTTTTTAGTTTTTTTTTATCACCATGAGGCGTTTTTTTTCTAAAATGTTTAGATTTTTTGTAAACATGGCTTTATTTTTTTTATTTTTATGTATGAATAAAAGTTTAATTATCTTGTCAGGCTTAGGTTGAAGAAGTCTAAAAGAAGGAAGAGGTGGTCATAATAGGCAGTAGGTACTATCTGTTAAGATTCAGGTCATAACCAATTGCAGGAGATCCAAAAGGAGAAAAATTTTACTATAGCAAGTTGAATATAGATACCAAGTTGGTAACTGAGTTAGTCATAACTTGTAATTTAAATAACATTTTGGGCTACAGTGCTTGCTATTTAGAGATAGTTTTCATACACTATCTGCTAACAAGTTAAGAGTTTATCATTTACCTTTTGAAATGCCTGATTGTAAAATTTTACATATTCTAGATAAGTTGTACAAAGCCTAATAAAGTTAAAGTATGATTGCCAAATTTTTTTAAAAAAATATATATATATTTTTATATATATAATTTGAAAAATAATCTGCATTTAGAAAATATAGAACATGCATTTATTTTATAAATCTTGACTTGGGACCAGACTATTTTTATATATATAAAGAAAATCTGTACTTAAAGAATATATACTTAAAGAGAGTCAACTATAATTTAATAATTTAATTACTATTAGGCTATATAATATTAATTTTTTGGTTCTTATAACATAAAATTTTAGAAATGACTTGGTGACTTGGCTTTTAATTTTATTTTTAAAAAATTTTATATGTAAAAAATATATAAAATTATTTTACAAAAATTTAAAAAAGCTCACTTGGATAATAAATTTCTAAAAAATTTTTTTCAAAATTTTGTTAAATTTGATCTGGCCAAATCATAAGAACCAATTAATTAAGTTTGTATAACCTTATAATCAAAATAATATACTGAATAACTTTAATTATTAAATATTACAATTTTTTTTAATAAGTTTTAAATATATTTGAAGGAGAGTTAGTAAAAATAGGACAAATTTATTAGATAAATTTGTTTTATTTCTACTAACCTCCCTCTATTTGCAGGTTTTTAAATTTTTTTGAAATAATATATATATATATATATATATATTTTACTCTTTGACAGTTTTGCTGAAGCTTAGATAAAATACTTTATTTAAACTTGAACAGAATGAATAATACAAGTATAACAATTTCAAGCCTGACATTATCTGGCTATATCTAGCATGCCTAGAAGTGACTTGTTGCACCAACTTACATGTAAGTTAGAAGACCTTGTCAGCTTGCCAAGAGCCTATTTCTTTATTTTTACTTTTTTCACTGAGAGCATAAGAAAATAATGTTTTGTATTTCCAATACAAGAACATATATCAAAAAGAAAAAGAGTTCATATACAAAAAAAAAATAAAACAGGAAAAAAGAAATAATAAAAAATAAAAATAAAGGAAACAGAAAATGTAAAAAAAAAAAAAAAACAAAGAAATAAGTCCAGACAGGCTGAACAAGAAAACACAATTTCAATCTTCTTCTCATTGGTACACCTGTTCCAACTATACTTCTTTAATTCAAATTATCAACATGTCAATACATAATACTTTTACTAATGTCAACCTCAATCTCTCTTCTTATTAACTTAACAACCTCATATATACTATCTCTTCACATCCTGCCTTCAATTTCCAACTATCCCAACTATACCCTTTCTTCTTAAATTCTATACTTAAAGGTCTTATACTCATACCCTTAATCCAATCTCTAAATCCATTCGAAATCTCATATTCTAATGCTTCTCAACTTATTATTTAGCTACTTCTCAAAATCTCCAATTAACTCTACAGCAACATCTAGATTCTATACTGTACCAACTTTTCTAACTGAAAAAAATCTTACCAAATCCCTTCCTACTCTAACTATAATACTTTATCACAATTTTCTCTACACTCAATCAATAAAAGAAACAAAACTAACTATATTTACAGTTGTTCTTGTAGCTCCACTAACCAACTATATTCTGAAACTAATACTTGTTCTCCTCTAGGACAAGCTACTTTTAAAATTAATACATGGTCTACTATATGGATCAAATATAATACACATATTAACCAAATTCTAACAATTCAAACCTAGATGAGTCTTGACTACTCTAGTAGGTTTAAGTTGCAGATAATTAGTTTGAGCTATTAGTTTAAGCTTTTAGTCTGAGCTTTTATTCTTGCATATAATTTATATTTATTTGTTATTATACAAATTAAGTCTTTATATAATCAATATGTAATTACTTATATAAATTAATCAATAAAAATATAAGCAAGACCTTACTTTAATACCAAAAAAAAAAAAAAAAAAAAACACTATTTCTAGTAAGAAACAGCAGCTACCTCTATCAAGAAATAGCAAAAAATTAAATAGAAGAAAAAGGTACACTATTATAATCTATACTAGGTAAGTAAAATAATTTATATTAAGTATAATATTATTTTAAATAGTTTGAGTATATTCAAATAATTTGAAAATTACAAAAATATATTAATATTTTTGTAATCTTTTTTAATATTATAAACTATTTTTAAACTTTTATAAATTTAATAATATTTTTTTTATATTAATAGGCAATTCTCCAGTTACCTGGTTTAAAAATTTTTTTTTATATATAAATTTTACTATAAGTGTGAATGCATAGCGCCTCTATCTAAAACTTTTTTTTTATACTAAGTAAATCACTGTTTGGCTTTTAACAAAAGTTGTAAAGCTTATCAAAATGTATTTAATATTGCAAAGATATTAAAATTAATTTGGTAGTTCTTGAAAAATCTTTAAAACTTCTTTTTTATATATAAAATTTCTTTAAAAAAAATTAATTTTTTTAAAAAAATTTTATATATAAAAAAAAAGTTTTTTAAAGATTTTTCAAGAGTTTACTAACATTTCACTAACAACTATTTTACTAATGACCATTTTACTGACAATTTTTTCACTGACAAACCTATTTCACTGACAACTATTTCTCTGACAACTATTTCCCCAACAACAACTTCATGAAGTGGAATGGTTATGTCAGAGAAATGGTTGTCAGAGAAATGGTTGTCAGTGAAATAGTTGTCAGTGAAATGGATTTGTCAGTGAAAAAAATTGTCAGTGAAATGGTCATCAGTGAAATGGTTATCAGTGAAATGTTGGTAAACCTTTTTCAAGAACTACTAGGTTAATTTTAATATCTTTGCAAATAAACAATTTTATACTTATATATATATAAACATTTTTATTCATTTGTTTGCAACAATAGAGAATGTCTTCAATCTAAAGTAAATCTCACATATGATTTGATTAATTAAAACTAATATAAATAATTCAGTTTTAATTAATTACACTATATATAGGATTCACTTTGGATTGGGTATGTTACCTTCTGTTACATTTTGCTAGATTTCAATAAATATATTACTGGGTATTGATATTTAAGTTTAAAAAAAAAAAATAAACCAATATATTGCCTCTAGTGAAATCTAAATTTTATTTCATAATCAATATATTGCTCAAATTTGAAAAAAAGATATAGTTTATTTTCAGAATAAAAGTTTTTATTATTGTTTTTAGTTTGAAGAAGCAAAGTAGCTTATTTTTGGGTATAAGGGTTTGCTAAGCTTTTTAATCAAATTTAAGGAGTAGCTTATTTTTAGAAATTTATAGTAATATTAAAACTAAAATAATCAATTTTACTATCAACAAATTATTCTTTTATACTCTTCCCGATGATCATTTGGTACACAACAACAGCAATAAATAAAAGTCATTTAAAGAGCTAAAGTATAGCCAAGATCATTATAGAATGCTATAAAAAGTGTTTAAAAGATGCAGTAGACTTTCAACAAAGCAGTTTTAAAGAGACACTAATGAGTATTAAAGCGATTTAGAGAAAAGAAGCTTAATTTTCAAGTTTTGTTTATTGCTTGTCAATATGACACTTAAAAAGCAAGGTTAACCTAGCGTAGACATCTTAAAGTCTATACAATAGCGAAGAAAAGCTAAGTAGAGCTGTAAAAAAAGAAATTTTATTGTACTGGAGAAATATACAATAGCTCTAGCAACACATAGTTAGAACTTTCTTGCTTATTCTAAATTTTAAGGAAAATAGCATTAACTTTGTAGTGTAGATCTTTTGTATAATATAAATAGACACATAAAGTCACATAGTTACACACAAACTATTCTAGAAATCTGACATGTAAAATACGTAAAAATATGTCAAAATCATGTGTTCTTGAAATTACAAAATAGAGTTAATAACAAAGAGTTTACAAGTCTAAAAGGATTAAATTGAAGGCACGTGACATCCAAGATTATGATTTCAAGAAATGCTAGCATTTACAGAATATAGAAACTTCTTTAAAAAGTCAGAAGATGAGAAATTAAAGCTATATAAAGCACAGAGTATGACAGTACTAAAAGAAGATATACATGTTGCAGAATATCTTGGTATAAGTGATAGTCATTTAATAGCAATTATATGTAATGTTTTAGATAGGTATAAATGAATACAGAGTAGAGAGATCAGACAAAATAAAATCTCAGATGAAGAAAGGACATTGCTTAGACTAAACACAGAGTTTAGTAAGCTTCATATTAAAAAAGAACAAAGTAAGGTAATACCTGCAATTATGGAGATTAGTTATAACAAGCTAGTTGTTTTGACAACTGATTATGATAGAAAGGTGCAAGAGAATAATCAAGATTGTGCATGTAAAAGAAGTTTGTCAGAATGTAAGGATACAGATAACACTGATAAAGTGGAGATTGAGTCAAAAAAAACTGTATTGGTCTAGAATGAGGTCGGCATTATCGATTATAGGATAAAAAAGCAACTGGCCAATAAAATGAATAACACCATCCAACAAATAGAGAACAAAAAGGCCAAGAAGTACAAAGATATTTATAATTCAGTGTGGGCACCAGAGGGTGAAATTAACTTGCAAAAATATACAAATGAGGCATGCTACTTCTTCATATTGTAGAATCTCCTGAAGAGAATAAGTGCAGATGAAATTAGAAATTTTCTTGAATTTTACAGAAAAGCTAAAGTTTTAAATTGGCAATATAGTTTTAAAACCAAGGTGGCCTTCATTAGTATTAAAATAAGTATTAAAGAGCGAGAAAACTCTTTACGAGAAAGCTAGGCAATACATCTAGATTAAGGTAAATTGTACAGAGTAACGCCTGGAAAATTTGATATTATAAAACTAGAAGACAGAAGTAAATTTAAAAATGCAATTTACAATATACCAAGCACAGCTTTAATAGCCTCATGCTCTGACAGTTAAGAAATCACAAAGTATGCACAGTCCATACTCTGAACAATAGTAATGGTAACCAAAGTAGAAAAGCACTACTATATTTTGAAACAAAAGAAGATTTAATTAAAGCACGAAGTTCAAGTCTATACTATTTTAACACAAAATTAGAGTGAAATCTTCCTGTCGCAGAGGTAAAAAACGAAAGAGTAACAAGTTCGAAGTATTATATATATATTTTTTTTTTTTATTGATTAAGGAGACCTCTTTGGCCTGAAAGCTTTTATTAGGATTTGAAACGGTGTTTTATATGC